TAACTGATTAAGGGAAAAATCCAGCAGCACTAGCCACTCTGGCAGCCACAGCAATGGCTGTCAATATCATGGGAAGGGAAGATGGGCAAAGGAAGAATCCGTGGCACTCGGACCACCACTGCCAGCTTCTCAGGAACCCAGCAGCTCTTTAGTTGGCAGGTCAGTGTCTCCTGGATCTCTTGGTTCTGTCCCGTCTTCAGGCTTCTGGACAGGAAAATCCACAGCACACACCAGGCGCTCAGGTACCCAAATTGGATTGTCAGCAACCCTGCCCCAGATTAGTACAGGATCTGGACCATGCCAGGTACCATTTGCTAGATTCTTCCACTTAACATGAGGCATCCCGGAAGAATTTGGCCACCCATGCCGCTCAGCAGTGGTCTGGGAATGAGTATCAACAGTCAAAAAATTTAAAATGTATAAAATAAAAGACAAATGGTCCCTGGGGGTAGAACCATAATCTCCCTTTTTTGTTTTATGCAAATAAGCTTTGAGTGTACAATAAGCTCGTTCTACTATGGCTTGTCCTTGGGGATTATAGGGTGTGCCCGATTTATGAGAAATAGAAAACTCAGAGCAAAATTTAGCAAAGTCAGTGGTAGTGTAGGCTGGTCCATTATCAGTTTTCAGAATTTTAGGAACTCCCATGTAGGCAAAAGCCTGGAGACAGTGACTTTTAACATCCTGTAATTTTTCTCCTGTATGAGCTGAGGCAAAAATGAGATGGGAATATGTATCCATGGTTACGTGAACATATTGCATGCGCCCAAAAGAAGGAATGTGGGTAACATCCATTTGCCACAAATGATTAAGAGCAAGCCCACGAGGATTAACTCCAAAATGGGGAACAGTTAAAAGTTCTGTACACAAAGGGCATTTTTTAACAATATCAGTGGCTTGCTCTCGAGATATCTTAAAATGAAATCTTAAAGACCTAGCATTGAGATGAAAACGATTATGAGCTTTCTTTGCAGCTTCCTAAGATTCTTGACTCACTGCATAAATGTGGCGAGTGAGCTGATCAGCCAAAGCATTTTCCTCGCTCAAGGGGCCAGGCAGATTGCTATGAGCCGCAAATGCCCTACGTAAATGGGAACAGATCGGGCCCAAAGCAAAGTTTGAATAGCCAATAACTGCATCTGGACTCGAGATACAGAAGCAATATAAGCTGCAGTTTCCAAAGGTGCAAGAATTTTGCTTATATACTGACTGTCAGTAAAACTGTTAAATGGAATGTCAGCATATTTCTCTAAGGCCATTTGTACAGCGATCAATTCAGCCACCTGCGTAGTATCAACAGGCTGAATGTCAAAGTCAGCAGGGGAGGCCACCACAGCTCTCCCAGTGGAGGAACCATCAGTAAACACATTTCTTGCCCCTGCCAGAGGCTGTAAAGAAATAACTTTAGGGAAGAATACCGGATGATTTTTGAAAAAGGTGACCAATTTATCAGAAGGATAATGATTATCAAACTTGCAGGGATTAGTGCATAAAAACAAGGTCCAATCCTCAGCGAAATTCTGTAGCCAAGTTATTTCTGCCTGGGTATAAGGTGTAATGACCTTATCAGGTACGCATAGGATGGGTCCTTTTTGTCAAAAAATTTCAGTAGGACTATGTTGAGAGGGAAAAATTATCAACTTGACCGTGTTCTTTGCTTTACAGAAGCTTCTCAGTTTTAGGAGGTCCCATTTATTAATTGTTTCTCTCAGTGTCTGTGCTGCTGAGGTTATATTTAGGAAGTGGTTCCCTGTGCCGATGCGTTCAAGTGTACTTCCCACTTTCTCTTCTATGAGGTTCAGTGTGGCTGGCTTTATGTTAAGGTTTGATCCATTTGGACTTGGATGTTAGACATGGTGTTAGATATGGGTCTATTTTCATTCTTCTACATGGTGATATCCAGTTATGCCAGCACCACTTGTTAAATATGTTTTTTTCCATTTGATATTTTTTGCTTCTTTATCAAAGATCAGGTGTTTTCATTCTTCTACATATTGATATCCACTTATGCCAGCTCCACTTGTTATATATGCTTTTTTTCCATTTGATATTTTTTGCTTCTTTATCAAAGATCAAGTGTTCAAAAGATGTGTGGATTGATATCCAGGTCTTCTATTCGGTTCCATCTATTCACTTTTCAGTTACTCTGTAGGGCTTCATTTGATTTTATGAAACAGTGACCTTCCACAAACATAGGCATATTTATTAAATGACTGAGGACACTTGGTAGGAAAAGGCAGAAACATGGCCACAAGGCTGAAGACTACCTAGAACAAACAGTGAATTCCAGGTCAGCCTGGGCTCTGCAGAACTAGTAAGATCCTGTCTGAAAAACTACTAAGTAGATGAATAAGATGCTGGAAGGAATCTGTGATGTCATAAGGGAAGAGAAAGGCCTTTCTTAGTGGAGCTTAGGAAATACATGCTAGACCACAGCCAGGCATAGTAGCTTATCCCTATATCCTGGCAGGTTTGCTTCAATTGTTGGGCCAGCTGGGACTACATAGTTAGACTGGCCTGGCCTACAGAATGAGACCCTGTCTCAAAATAAGAAAAAAGAGCCACAGGATTGTGGCCCATAAATTTAATCCCAGCACTAGGCAAACAGAGGTAGACAGATCTTTATGAGTTCAAGGCCAGCCTGGTCTACAGAGCGAGTTCCAGGACAGCCAGGGCTACACAGAGAAACCCTGCCTGGGTGAGGGTGGGTCAAAAAAGGAAAATGGCCAGAAAAAAAAAGACGTTATGAAGAAGGGTGTCAGTGAGGTACAGAAGCCACATCATGGACTTTTGCCATATGTAAGCGGTTCCATCTTTCAGGGGCCCCATGGAGGTTTAACTTGTCATCATGGCTGTGGAAGGTCTTGGGCATGGGCTTTTTCTTTGTGTTTGTTTTTTTTGTTTGTTTGTTTATTTGTTTGATTTTTCAAGAGAAGGTTTCTCTGTGTTAACAGTCCTGGCTGTCCTTGAACTAGCTTTATAGACCAGGCTGGCCTTGAACTCACAGAGATCCGCCTCTCTCTGTCTCCCCAGTGCTGGGATTAAAGGTGTGTGCCACCACTGCCCGGCTAGGACGTGAGTGTAAGAGGAGCAGTAAGGACTGTTGAGGAGAATTATTAAAGCTATAGACAGACAAAACATGCTGCAGCTCTAAAGAATTCAGGCCCCAGCCACCACAGACAGACATGATGAGTTAGCCGGAGGGAGAAGTCAGGGCCTACATGGCAGAAGCAGGGGTCCCTGCTAACTTTGTGAGGATGGGAAGACAATCCTCCACGCTCTCCCATTACAGGCAGGAGGCAGAAAGTAGAAAGTAGGATGGCCACCAAGACCTCCGTTAGTGCTAGCTAACTTCTCCTAGTCAGAAATCTGGTCACATGGAAGTATGTTAGCCAGGGACTCCCTGGCAGTGTCTCATTAAGAAGCCTGTTGGAATGTGAGAGGGAGATGGCTCAAGTCCTGTGGTCTGGCCATTACCTTCTTCCAAGGTGCACCTTTAAAGGCTATGCCCATGCCTGGCTCCTGCCACTGTGCTTCCTGGCCAACTGGACTCAACATCTCAGCATCCACTCCCCATGCCTTTTCTCCAGGATGGACTGTAAGCCAAAAGAACCCTTTCTTCCCATGAAGCTGTTTCTGTCGAGTATCTTGGTCACAGCAACGCAAACATAACCACCGCAGGTTGAGTAGTTTTAGTACAGAGCTAGGAGAATCTTCCTGAGGACACCGGACCTGCAGGGACCTCAGGATAAGGAGGTAGCTACCAGGCCAGGAGCAGAGGGAACAGCGTTCCACGGAGAGAGGCCTATGGTGGGGATCGAGCAGAGAGCCGGCTAAGGCTGGATCACAGCAGTGTGTGCGCTCTACTCCCAAGGGGGCAGTGAAGTCTTCCGTGGAGAGGACGGGGCAAGAGAGGGTCTGCAGATACTGTCCCGACCCTCTACTGTAACGGTGTCAGGATGACAGAGGGTGTACTCTTTGATCAGGGCTGGGACAGAGGAGCTGGAGGCAAGTGGATAATTTCAATAAATATGTGAAGGTAGGATCAAAGGTCTTGTCTCCTTGTGCATGCGTGGATGGAAAGAGAAGAGAGCGAAAGCAGAGACGACCTTTAAGTTTCTGGCTGAAAGTGCTGTGGTTGGTGACGTAGACGTATGTGACTAAGCCAGGGCCAGGTGTGAAGATGGAACAATAAGTAAAACATCTTGTTCCGTGCCTGGCACCTGAAACAGAATCAATAATAATACCCAATAGATGTGATTATTATTACCTCTGTTATTCTGTGTTCCACAATAACGGCTTCTTGGAAATGGTAAGTTCTTTGACCTGAAACACACGCACATCCACACACACCCCAAATACATACACACATGCACACACACAGGGGAGGGACGCGAGGGAGGGAACCTACGGCACAGCCCGCAAGAAGCCGGTGTGGCACTGTCTGAGAACGACAGTACTGGAAACAAAACCACTCGAATGCTTCACAGTTAAGCTTTTATTTTGAAAAATAAAATACAAAAGTCATTAGGTTGTAAATGTATACAGTAATTTCCCAACGTCTCTGAAACAATACAAGGAATTATTTAAATAATTAAGGTATTTACTATTATCCACATCAATATATTTAAACAGGCACAAGTGTTCTACAAAACACTGGAACGTGTACAGACAACCGATTCTGAACGAGACTGCCAATTTTGTTAACAAACTGCCTTCTTTAAACTCTCCTTCTCTTGAAATTAAAGACTGGAATCTGGTAAGAACGACAAGGACAAGAGGAGCTGGAACAGAACTGGGTCCCCGCTGGGCTCCTCATCTTGAGGGCTGTGAGAGTCACTGGGCTCGAGAGCCATCACTCAGGGAGGCCGGCAGCGGCACCTCCCCAGGGACAGGAGGCTGGCAGGTGAGCAGGAGCGATGGGTTGGGTCAGAGCACTTCTCCCCGCAGAAGACAGCAGCTCAGGAGATTTCCCTTCTGTAGAAAAGGCAGCAGTCATCCCTAGAGCAAACACACACATGTGGTCACAGGCACAATCAAAGCTGCCCTTCCTGTACCATCCCCGCCCGCTTCCCTGGCTGGGTGCGCTCCTGCAGTTCAGGGGCAGGACGGACAACCACGCCTCTGAGGGACATGGAGGACACACTTTGCCATCTGGGCTGTTGCCGGTACCTGCAAATACTTCAAGGTACAAAGCAAGAGAACACAAGGACTGGTACAGACACTTCCTAATGGTGGCAACGGTCACCTGCGTCCGAAGCTACCACTAATGGCCAACGTCCAAAGCCACCATGCTGACTTTTCATTATGTGCCATGACCTTAGGAGATGAATGGGCTCTCCAGGATCACTCTTGTCAGCCCTAGGTGACTGGAATCCCAGTCTCTGGGTCCCTCCTAACGTTACAGACCCCTTCCAAACGCCATCTCCACACTTACTCCATGCCTTCATTTCACAGATAAGGGAACAGACATGGAGTTAAGATGCTTGGTGCCAATGCCAACCCAGGCTGCCTGAGGCCAGAGCTGTGCACACTATCCGGACACACAGCTGTCTCTGTCGGCTCAAGTGGAGACTCCCCCCAGCAGCACCCGGCAGGCCTCACCTCACTGTGGGAAGTTCCAGGCTCAGCTACTCCAATTGCTCCGTCTGTGGAAGGAACCATAGATACGTTAAAGTCCCGCAGTCAGCTGGTTAGCAGAAGAGGTGCGACTGCTCTCACCAACACACCAGCCATGCCTCGGAGGACTGACGGCTAACATTACAGTAAGGTTTAAACTTACCATGCTTGAGAGACTGGAGAAAAGAAAGCCTCTAGCATGCAGGCCGTGGTCTGTAAAGGCTGTGCTGCAGCAGTCCACGCCCCCTTCCCAAGACACGGACAACTATTCTTACAATTGACTGGTCTTGTCAAATCTGCTGTTCTAGCAAAACAGTAGGTCATTAAACTGACTGCTATTTCTGCTTTTGTAATTAAGCTTGCTTACTCTGCTCAAAAAGATCACTAGGTCAACTGCAAGACATACATGTTAAAGTAAGACCCTGCCCTCACACAGACAGAATTCACACATAATTTTACGGGTTTGCCTTTATACATCCTGTGCTGATATGGCTAGGGACTGCACCTTGGGAGAGCTCTCCGGTGAAGTCCTGGCCCCACATTGGGGGCCAGCACCTAAATAAAAAGTCTCTTCTTACTAAAATATATTCATGGTCATGGTGAATGACCCTCTGAGTGACCCCAGACCCATTAACAGGGTCTGCTCAGAGTTTTAGATGAACTCAGCCTGTAACTGTTCTAAGAAACTGGATTGGCCTTTCCCACACTCAGGGACGGACTAAATCCTGGACATCTCCCGAGTAACAAGGATGCCTTTGTTCCTCACGAGCCCCATGAGTCACATATGAGTCTGTGTTGGGACACGAGATGACAGGGTGGGCTCACTTTCAGGACCTTCGAGTCAGCCTGGCCTCAAGTCAAATGCTGGAGCTTTGGTTATTCACACAGGAACGAGCAGACAGAGTGTGGGCTCTGATTCCACAGGGACAGGACACGCAGAGTCTCCAGGGCCCCCCAAGACCCAGTCCCTGTACCTCCTCACTTCTGACTGACCTTGAGCTCCACTATGTGGAGCAGGCTGGCTGAACTTGCAGTGGTCCCCCTGCCTCTGCCCCCTCACTCTGGAATTATCGGCATGTGCTGCCAAGCTTCTCAAGTTTGTTTCTTTGTTGTGACAGGGTTTCGTGCAACCCCGAGGGCCTTGAACACTCTGTGTATCTGAAGACGACCTGGAATTTGGTGCTTCTGCCTCATTCACAAGTACTGATACTACAAGCATGTGCCCACACTTGGACCCATTTCTAAATTAAACCATAATCTTTCTTTTAAATTTTTATGTATTTATTTAATGTGTATGGGTATTTTGCCTACATGTATGTCTACGCATCATGTGCATGCCTGGTTCCCAAAGAAACCAGAAGAAGGCATCAGATCCCCTGGACCTAGAGTTACAGCCACATGGTGGCTGGGAACGGAACCTGGGTCCTCTGGGAGGGCAGCCGTTCTTAACTGCTGATCCATTGCTGTAGCACACATTTTCGAGATTTCTATTTTTTAATGTGTGTATGTGCGTGTGTGTGTCTTTCTGCCTGTGTAACAGTACACACATGTGAGTGTGATGCCCCAAGGGGCCAGAAGAGAGTGTCAGATCCCCCGGCACGGGCCAGAAGAGAGTGTCAGATCCCCCGGCACGAGTGCTGGCAATGGAACAAAGCTCCTCTGCAAGAGCAGCCAGCAACCTCAGTGGTTAAGGCATTTGTTGCTCTTCCAGAGAACTCAGGCTTGATTCATAACACGCACATGCTGGCTCACAAAGGCTTTTTAACTCCAGTTCCAGGGGATATGACACCCTCTTCTGGCCTCCTTGAGCACCGGGCATGCATGAGGTACAGATATGCATGCAAGAAAAACAAGCATACACTTAAGATAATAATTAAAAGTTTAACATTAGATACTATATTGAGACAGGGTTTACTAGGTGCCACTGGCTAGCCTAGAAGTCACTATATAGACCAGGCCAGCCTTGAACTCATAGAAATCCACCTGTCTCTGTCTCCCAGGTGCTGGGTTTCAAGGTTATATTACCATACCCAACTCTGCCATTCATTTTTAAAAATTCCTTGTTTGCTTATTTAGCTTTGTGTAGACGGGTGTTGGCGTGAATGCTCTGTGGGGAAGTGTGTACCACAGCACGCATGTGGACGTCAGGAGTCAGTTCATCCTTCTACCTTTATGTGGGTTCCGGGGTCAAACTCGGGCTGGCGGGCTGGGGGGCAATGCCTTGACCCTCTGAGCCACCGTACCAACTCTAGCGTTGTTATTTCTGTTAGTTTAGGATGGGGTCTAGCTCTATAGCCCAGGCTGGCCTTGAGCATGTGATCCTCCTGCTTCCATCTTCCCAGTGCTGGGGAAACGGACGTGTGCCACTATATCCAGCTACGGTAAGTTTTAATAAGCAAATATTCTCAACTCTGGTGTGTAATTTACCATTCCCCCCGCCCCACTAGAGACAGAGTTTCTCGAGTATCCCTGGCTGTCCCAGAACTCACTCTATAGATCAGGCTGGCCCTGAACCAGAGACCCACCTGTCTCTGCCGGGATTAAGGGTGTGTGCGGCACTGTCCTGCACGCTATCATCTTCAAACTCATGACCATGTCTCTATGACTGCAGACGGCTTTCCCTCTAAGTTCGGGGACTTTCTCTTGCATGCTTCCACCCCCCCCTTCCCCCATCTGGAGCTGACTGGGTGTGTGCTGAAGCACAGGGAAGTCGTCAGTTTCGGTCTCAAATCCCCTTTCTTGGTTTCTTCAAGTTTATCCTGCCTCTTAGATTGCTTTCTGGCAATTTCCAAGGCTGTGAGTAACGGTCTCTTCGGGAGTCCACCCAGGGCTCTGGGATGTCATGTGCACTCTGGGCCTGGCCCTGCTCTCCCCTCTAGGCAAGCATCAGGCCCTTGAGGAGTTCCTTGAGAAGACTCCTTTTCTTCCAACTCCTGAGGACAAATCCTAATTCCTCACTCACAGCAGACCACTAGCAAACAACTGTGGAATACATGAAAAGAATGGGAAAAAGTTAACCATGCACTGCTGAGAAGATGCCTTGAATGCACTCTGAGACCTTCTGGTACCACACATCATCATGGAGGGCTGGTAACTAGAGTGGTCAGGTCGGGCACAGCCTTCACTCCTGGTGAGAGATGGCGTCACTGAGCTCCAGAGGACGGCCTGCTTACTTCAGGCTTGCTGCATGCGACATATAAGGCAGCGTTTCCCCTGCAATCCTAACTGAAACAGTCAGAAACTGAGTTCCGTATGGACAGCAGCACCCTAGAGATAGGCTGCCTCCGCCCATGCGGAACATCAAGGCTAATGACAGGCAGTGATGTCTCTTCCCCAGCTGCTACACAAGTGACGGACCCAAGGGCACGCGGTGCTACTCCAGGCACAACCACCATGACATTCTCAGTTTTCCTCCAACTCTGGACACAGTAATGGAATGCAAGTGAGCTGAAACATTACAGTTGTGATTATAGATTGGTTTCTTTTTTTGTTTTTGAGACAGGGTCCTACTATGTAGGCCTGACTAATGTGGAACTTACTGTGTATAGCAGGCTAACCTAGACCTCACAGAGATTCTTCTGCTTCTGCCTCTCAGGTGGTACTAAAGGCATGTACCACCATGCCTGGTTCAAGGATTGGTTTCTTTGTTTGTTGGCGTCAAGGACTCTGACTAGCCCTGGCTATCCTGGAACTTACTATCACTCTGTAGACCAGGATGGCCTCAAACTCACAGAGATCCACTGGCTTCTGCCTCCCAAGAGGGATAAAAGGCTTGTGTCACCATGCTCAGTGTTTGTTTGTCCTTCCTTCCTTCCTTCCTTCCTTTCTTTTTTTGCGACAGGATTTCTCTGTAGCTTTGGAGCCTGTCCTGGAACTAGCTCTTATAGACCAGGCTGGCCTTGAACTCACAGAGATCCGCCTGCCTCTGCCTCTTGAGTGCTGGGATTAAAGGCGTGCGCCACTGCCACCTGGCCGGTTTCATTTATTTTTAAGATCATAAGAATTACAGGCTTTGAACTCTCACATTTGCTGACAGCCAATTGCTGTGTGCATTACGTATTACAGGTCTTTTAGTTTCCAATGTGAGAACAGCTAAAACACCCCAAACATGAATATAGTAAAAAAATAACAAAGGTGGCTGCATATTATTATTATTATATTATTACTTTACATCTTAATGCAATGTAGATGCTCAGGAAGCAGGCTGGACAGATGCTCAGGCATTCTCCCCATTCCCATGTGAAATCCTGTGTGGCTGAGTGTGCACTTCCCTAGCTGTGGAAGACCCTAACCTCTCTCGAATCACAGCCGCTCGGCACCACCAGCACAGGTCACTGTCCTTTTCTTCTTCCCTTACTTGTCTGCTTGTTGGCATGCAGAGAAGGGAGCTGGCCCGGAACCGCACTGTGTAGCCCAGGCTGCCCTGGATCTGTGCCGATGGCCGGCATTACGGGTACAAAGCAGCACAACTGACTTTTATTTTCTTGTTTTCACTTTTTAAACTTCATTGTCCTTTCCAAAGCTTACACTGTGGAAGAGCCAGCTCTTACAGAAGAGAGGAGGAAGGGGAAGTGGTGTACGTACGGTACCTGGGGTTTTTCTTTCAGAAAGTCAGGTAGCTGAAATTCTCCTTTATAGACCTGGAAAGAACAGAGCAGGGGTGAGTAAAGGGAACAGGAGCCTCCTGGTGCACACTGCAGCCGCTGGGCTGCGTTCACTCATGAGAGAGCGAGGGAAACAGAACTCAGTGGGACCTAACTCACTCAGACTCCCTGGCAGCAGCTGCCCCAGTGCTCCTGGGCTGGCTGACTAGGGGAGGGCAGGCCATGTCTAATATTTAAGAAATATTACATGATCCTTACAGTGACATCTACTTAAAGCTCATAGATCTCTTCTTCTGGGACAAGGTCTTTTGGGACAGACTGGCCTTAAATGCATTATTTAGCCAAGAATCACCTTGAGCTCCTATTCCTCCTGCGCCTGTCCCCACTGTGGCAGTGCTGGGGTTACAGGCCTGCACCACTGAGCCTGGTCTATACAGTCCTGGGATGGAATCCAGGACTTTTGGCATACTAGGTGAGCACTCTACAAACTCAGCTACATCCCGGTTCCATGCACATAAGTTTGAATACTTGCCCCCTGCCCCAGCTGGTGGAACTGTTTTGGAAGGGTTAGAAGGAGTGGCCTTGTTGGAGGACATGTCACTGGGACAGGTTTTAAGATTTCAAAAGATTCACACCATTCCCGGTGTGCTGTCTCTGCTTCCTGTTTGTGAACTGGGAAATGAGCTCAGCGGCTGTTCCGGTGCCAACCGCCTGCTGCTGCTGCCATGCCGACTTTCATGATGGACTCTAGCCCTCTGAAACATTAAGTCCAACTAATTGCTTTCTCTTATGTATTGCCTTAGTCATGGCATTTTGTTACAGCAATTGAAAAGTAACTAATCCAGTATGTATGCATACACAAACACACATCCACAACTTTGTGCTAAACTAATTAAATAGTTATAATTGGGACAATAAAGTTTGACGTAAGGGCATACACTATAACAAACCCTAACTTCCAGATACGATATGACAAAAGCAGTCCTGAGGAACAACACAGGTAGGATGGATAAGTACACCAGGCACAGGGATGCGCATCTGTAATCCAAGCAGCTGGGAGGTGGAGACAGGAGAACCTCACGTTTAGGGCCAGCCTAGGCTACAGAGTGAGTTCAAGGCCAGCACAGGCTACTTGACACCTGGTCTCAAAAAATTCCAAATAGGCAAAATGTGATGGCATACGCTTTTAATCCCAGCATTTGGGAAGATACAGGCTGGCCAGGGATACACAGTGACACCCTGTCTAAAAATGGGTGTGGCTCATTGGTATTGTAATATCCTAGTGTGTATGATATCCTAGTTTTAATCCTGAGGGCCACTAAATAATAATAATAATAATAAAAAATATTAAACAGTCAATGTATATAGTGTCTACTCTATAGTGAAAATAATATAAATTGCTACACAACTAACAACAACACATAATCATGACAGTGTGTATGGGGGGGCGACAGATCCTAAGAAATATACTGTCTTAATATTGTAGTATTATGAGGTGTGATCTTTTATTGATATGCTAGGCATATTTCTCTGTATATATATTTCAATAGGAAAAATCAGATAACCAAATTAACTCAAAGGTGTAATGTTAACAAGTTAGTGTTTGCTGGTTGTGGAGGTTCATATCTGGTATGTAGAACTTAGAAGGCAGAAGCAGGAGCAGAAG